AATAAATAAATAAATAAATAAATAAATAAATAAATAAATAAATAAATAAATAAATAAATAAATAAAAGAAACTAGAAGCAACTCATTTGATGAATGAATTCACGGACTTGTATTTATGAGTTGACATCCATTAGACCATTATTTATTTTTCCATAGCGTCAGAACTTCAATTTGGTATAGTTATTGACATAGGGAGGGCGGAGGGGCGTGGATAGATTAGGAAAATTAGGAGATTGCTAAAACGGCTAATGTCAAAACGCCGTGTTTTGCAGCTTTTTTATTTTTGGGTGTTTAGATAAAAAAGCCAAATGAAAAAGCTATGTAACCAAACATCCTATTAGCTGTTTCATCTGGTCAAAAGGCTAAATATTAGTCAAAACAGCTAAAAAATGGCTGATAGACTTCCAACAAAACACCCCCATAGTATTTACTTAGGAGAAAGGAAGACATGAGTAGACTAAATCACTCAAATGAGTTTATCCGTAGCTGAAATGTCGTCTTTGTTATAGAGTACACAGAGAAAATTGCTATTGCTATAAATAAAGAGTATAAATAAAGAGTCTGTTTGATAATACTCAAATCGGTTGAATCGACTGATTCTGTTTAAATTTATGACGTTATGACTGAAGTGGTTGTATTGGTTGATTTATGAAAAAATTATGGGGTAATTTGAGTTTGCACCTCATATTCTTGTCTAAATTGGACTTTGCACTCTGTTTTTAAAAACTCTTTGTTTTTGCACTCCAACGGCCCAACCCCATATGAAAAGACAAAAATGCCCTCCATTAACAACTCTGTTGACCTTCAACATATTCCAGATTGAGGGCATTTTTGTCTTTTCATATGGGGTTGGGGTGCAAAAACAAAGAGTTTAAAAAACGGGGTGCAAAGTCTAATTTAGACAATAATATGGGGTGCAAAGTCCAATTTAAAATATATTTTATTAATAAAATAAATAAAAAATATATGAAAAATAGGTAAAATAATCATCTACAGTAATTTCAGCCAATACAGCCAGAAAAATAACTCCAACCTTGCTTTTTCTTATTATTGCACAATTCAGCGCGCGAAATCAAAATTTACGTGTTTGTTTAAAAAAATTGGCTAATAAGCCTAATAAGCCGAAAAACAGAGTCACCAAATGGGCTCAAAATTTAAGTTTCTTTCAAAAATAGGATCTAATGTTTGATTTTCTCTAAATAGTGGAGTAATAGACATTCTATTTTTACCTTTGGTTGAACTAATTAATTAATTAACCCAATTAATTGTCCTCCCTAGTTCTCTTGATGTCTCTTGCACAACCAAGACAATCCGTTGGTGGCTGCAACTCGGCGGCGGATTCCGGTGGCAGCGGCAAACTCCGTCGAAAATGTTGGCAGGCCGCCAGAAAAAATTCTGGAAATTTTTTCGCAGGCGGCAGATGGCAGGCGACAATTCAGGGGCAGTAGTAAAGGTATTTTGGTCCAATCATAAATAAAAAGTCCTATATAAGAATGTTTGAACTAATTGGTCCTATTTTGGTAAAGAAGAAGAAGAAGAAGAAGAAGAAGAAGAAGCTATGTTTTAGTTCTATTAAGGTTAAAACCCCTAGAATATATCAATAATATTGATAAAAGTATTCACACGCCGTGTACTTTCAAAGTGAATCAAGGCTTAACATGGAATCAGAGTCAAGTCCGGTTGTGGTTTGACTGCTTGTTTAGCACCCATGATTAAGAGTAGCTTGTTTGGCCTATTTATACACCGCATCAATATTGTCTAGCCCGGTTCGAGATGAGGGACGTGTTAAAGTATTTGTCCAACACCGGAAAACTATAAAATAATAAAACATTGGAATGTGGTTTTGGGCTACTTTTCTTATAAGATTGATCTTTTATGATTAGACTTCAGGTCCTAACAAATATTGTGGCATTTTCATATCAAAATGTAAGAAAATTAGAAAAATGAGAAAATGAATTTCAAATAGCACACCATGACTTAGTCCTTCTTTCCTTTTTGGGAAAGAAGGAAAATGTAAGACAAATATTAGTTTTCAAATTTCAAATAGCACACCATGAATTTCAAATAGCACACCATGAGAAAATGTAAGACAAATATTAGTCCTTCTTTCTTTTATGGGACATTTTTTTTATTTGTCTTCTTTCTCTTTAAGGAAAGTTTTTGAAAAAATACCCCCACTTTTATTACTTTTACCCCACTTACTTTTTACAAACTATTTTCTCTTTCCTACTTTACCATCACTTTACTCTTCTTAATACACTCTCTTTCCTACTTTATCATCACTTTACTCTTTTTAATATACCATCTTTCCTACTTTATCATTTACCCTACACACTCTATACTTACTGTACTACTTTATTATTAAATCCCGTGCCAAACCCTAAGGGGACTAATAAAAAAGAATGGATGGAGTAGCTCAATTGAATGTTTTTTAAGAGCTTGAGGTTTCGATTGAATCTTTATAAAGTACGGGAACTTAGTTGCCTTTGTCGTTATAGTACGAGGACATATTTGATAGTTTTCCTTTATTTTTATGTGTCCATTTCTCTCATGTCACATGTGCATTATGCATATTATTGCATTAGAGATGTTCTAAAGTGATCTTTTCACCTATTGTGTTCAAGGAAGTTGTCCATAACGATTTCCAAACGTAATATATTCTTCTTCACCATTTTCCCATCCATCCAAGCAAAGCCACGAAATCTGCTTGACACAATCATACAACTAAACTATATCTGTTAGGGAGATTTCCCAAAATATGACTGCTATTTTTTTCTTCCCGAAATAGGACAAAGATGACAGTATTACTATCATTATTTAGTCATGACTGACAAATAGTTGCATTTAACATGACAATGGCCTTGTTTGGCAATCGGCGGTTAGCTGTTAGCTGTTAGCTGGTTACGACGGCTGATTGATAATAGCTGGTTGTGTCAGCTGTTTTGGTTGGCTGATTATGTTAGCTTGTTGTCAGCAAATGTTTGGTAAATTAGCTGTTTAAGAATAGCTGTTTGAGTGTAAAAAGACATATAAGGACATTAGTATTTTTTTTAACAATTTCTTATAAATATAATATTGATTACATTTATTTACGAAGCATAATCATTCATAATTTAAATTTTTTAGAAATTGGTGAATGAAACTACATGAAAAATAAAAATAAAATAAAAGAAACATTCTAAATTAATTTGAATAATGTGAATTCACATTCCAAAAAACATGCATACATGAACAAGTCCAAAGTGTGTCACAAAAAATACCATAACGTACTTATGTTAACTAAAAATAAAATAAATACCCACATAATCAATTGCGAGTGCGTTTAGCTTGCATCAAACTTGATGTGATACTATTACGTACAACTCTCATCTCTTGAGTTCTATTGTTCACGTCATTTTGTGTAGCGTTTCTTTCAACATCTTCAAATACATCCGGAGGTATGAATTCAGGATCCTCATCAAGAAATCTAAAACTCGGGTCGCCAATTGAGCTCCTTCTAATGTAGTTATGCAATGCGAAACATGAACAAATTATCTTATTTTGATCCATTAATGAGTATCGTGGCATTTTTTGCAATATCTTCCATCGAGCCTTAAGAACACCAAAGGCTCTTTCAATACAGCTTCTTAAAGATGAATGTGCTCTATTAAATACCTCTTGAGCTCCTCTAGGATGTGCACCACGAAATTCGGATTGATGGTACCTTATCTTGGGGGTAAGGAGTCAAATATCCATCTCTTTCTGGATAACCCTTGTCAACCAAGTAATACTTGCCTACAATTATACATAATACATGTCAAATTTGCATATATAGAAGCTCTTTTTTGTTACAAAAGAATAGAAGTACCTATAGGTGGTTTCGGAAAATTAAGAGTTGGGTTGTTGATTGCGTCTAGAAAAATGCGAGAGTCGTGGGCTGATCCCTCCCAACCTGTTAAAACATACTCCCTCCGTCCCATAATTATCTTCATTCTTTCCTTTTTGGTCCGTCCCAATTTTATCTTCTCTTTCCCTTTTTAGCAAAGGATTTGTGGTTCACAACCATTTTTACACATTTCTCTCTCCTCTGCACAACTCTCCACCACACATTTCCCACTTTCTTAATCTCCGTATCCAGTCAAAACCGAAGTTAATTCTGGGACGGAGGGAGTAAGTGAATAGCAGATCAAAGTCACACACCGCTAACACATTTGTAGTCGGAATCCCTTTCCTCCCCCTATAACGCAATTGGTCCTCTTCGGGAACTGTTATTGCAATATGTGTACCATCAATAGCTCCGATGCAATTCTAGTTTCATAAATACCAATTCAAATGAATTATAAATTTGAAAACACTCAATCAATTCAAATAATGACATGTACTAAATATTATACTCACTTACCTTAAAATGAGGCATATATCTATCATCAGTAGCAATTTGTAGTGGAATGTTCTTGAAATCTGGATCTTTTGGCACGAGTAAATCCCTTGAAAATCCTTCCATTGCATGCAAAACTTCCTTAAAAGTTCTACTGACGGTTTCACCAGAATGTTGAAAACGCTCTTGAGTATCTCTATTAGAAGCTCCCTTACTGAGTACATAAACAAATACACCAACCTTTTCCAAAACAGACATCCTATATGATGATCTCAAACCATACCTATTTTCTAAATCAAAGCATAGTTCACGAAATGTTTTTTGGTGCATTCTAAAGGCGTTAAAACACCTCTTATCATGACCAGTCAATAACTCATCCATCCACTTCTCTCCTGTTAAATAAGAACTCATGCAAGGTTCTTTATAGAGATGCTTCACAAAATAAGAACCCATGCAACTTGCTACACAAGTAATCATATCTAAAAATTCATCTTCTTCTTTCAAATACTCTAAACATAAGAGAAGTTGTGCAATTTCCATATCATTCGTATCCATACCTACACATAGAGAATTACAAAATTACTATAAACTTGTACCAATATGATGATGAATACAATGATAGTAATGAAAGTAATAATAAAAATAATAATAATGACAGTAATAATCATAATAATAGCATAGCAAAATAAGAATTCATAACAAAAGTTGACTCTTTCAGAAAAAGAAATTTAAAGTTACAGAAGCATAAGAAGTTTAGTTCCCCGACTTCTTGTACATAAACCTAATGTATTCAACCCTGCTATTGTCATCCGGTAAAGAAAAGAAAATCGTTCGGCATTGTGGATCTTCAAACATTGTGCAAGCAAAGAAAAACTCGGGCGAAATAGTAGAGAGACCATCCAAACAGATAAGTTTTGCCATAGTTTCTCCAATACCATACTGTGACGTATGAGTATTTGAGTTCGCTTTAATCATATCCTTCATCAAACCGGTGACTTCATTGAATGATTCACTCCTTTTTGAAACTACTTCCATCATACCACTGCACATTTCTTGAAATGTTGCCATACCTCCCTTTTTTGTGTGAGTTGGCCGAGCACTTTTGTTACTTTGGGATGACTCAACCTCAATGGGCCTCTTACCTATTCTTATCTCATCATTATGGACTTGTGTATTTTGACGATTAAGTGTAGTAGGAGGTGTACGTGTAGGACTAAACTCACTCCATAAGTCATCCCACGATGCATTGCCTGTAGAACTTCCTCCCACATTATGCGTATCCTCAATGTTAGTAGTATCGTGATAAGCAGGACGAGGTGGAGAAGGAATATAAACGTCATCCATATCAGGTTGCACATCTTCTTGTGACGTAATATTTCCTGGAGTGTATTTAAGATTTCCTTGTGCAGAACATGAAAAAATTTGATCCATTTTATACTCCACTTCAGGCTCAATCCCTTCATCTTGAAATGATTCAAACTTAGAATTTTCCTATAAAAAATTGAACAATAAATTATTTACAATATAAGTACTCTAGTATGGTATTTTAAGAAATCATACTAACCTTAATCTTTAAGGCCCACCAATCACTAGAAGCATCAATAGTTCCCGTGACATGATCCCAGCCCAATCCAGTATCTTTTGCCTTCAATTGTTTCCATAAGGTCCACCTATTTCTCATCCAATCAACTTTATTTTTTAATTTTGTTTTATCCCATGGCAACTTAGTCTCTCTTTCAAATTCAGATTCAATCTTTTTCCATAACAACCTTTGAGAAGTCACTCCACCATTTTTTCCTTTACTCTTTTCCACATATTTGATACAAAGATCACAAAGGATGTGAAGTGAGTTTTTTGACCAAACAATTCTCCCTCCTTTATTTTCAACAGAACTTTCGCTTTCGCCTCTTTGAGTATCACCTACACTTTTCTTTCGTTCGGGAGCCATCTAAAACTCATATACAAAATGAAATATACACAAAACATTATTAACAAGATTATTATATGCACTGACGGATTTTTGTCAAACTATTTGTGTGCAACTAATGGATTTTAGCAACAAGATTGAGGAGAAATGGCTGCAATATTTGCCATTTAAGAAAAGTCCAACACTATTTAGAAACTACAAGTTCATAATGTAATTATTAATTAAGATAAGTGTTGTCATTAAAAGTTAAACTAATATTGAACTAATACTAAACTAATAGACAATCAAAAAGACAAAAAAAAAAGTTAAACTGAGAAGAAACTTGCAGGAACTTTATATTGAAAAATTAAACAGTAACATTAAATTGATAATAAAATAGGAGTAATAAATTGCAGAAACTTTTTTCTGTGAGCAATCAATAAAACGTGAGGCATACAAGCCATCCAATTCAGACGAAGCAAGGACAAAGAAAGAGGAGGAAGGATGGAGGTGCATGTTTTGCCAACTTCCTATCTAGAGTATCTACTATCATTGTTTAGAGAGATTAATTTGGACTGATATAGCTGGATTTTTTACATTTTTTCTTCTAAAATGCAGTTCCATTAAACAGTGACTAATTACTCGACCAAACAAAAAACGGCTAAAAGGAACTCTGCCTTTATACTACATCAAGTCTACTCTGCCAAAAATATACAGCAACCCAAGTCCTAACCATATGAGAAAATACGAGTAATCAGTGAGTTGTTTCATGTAGCCTATCAAGTAATTTGTAAAGTATAACTGGTTTCCTAAGGCTTATGATTACACTTTTCAATTTAGTGCTACCAAAAAATCTGCATCTTTGCCAAGGTCTGCACTTTCAAATCATGGAAGTTGCATATGTACATAATAATACAGTGATGGGAGAAATAGGAGTGGTGAAGCATCGGCGTTGCTGCTTCTTTGGCCGAAATTAATCAACCGGCAATTGAAATACATCAGAAAGCTTTGTTGTCCCTATGCGTGAAAAATTAAATGACAAGGGAAATTGTTTTTTAAGGTTGTAGCTATAGTTATACATAGGAATTTGAACGCCAATTTTAACGTCAAGATAGAAACAAATAGAGGAAGAAAGATGGAATGGACACACAGAGCACTCATGTAAAGAATATAGAAAAAATTACTGAAAGGGATGCAAAAATTAATATGATTCACATACCTCCTCGTTTCTAGATGGCCGAAGAACACTTCTACGTAGGATTTGCAGGTGCCGACGGAAGAAGCAAAGGAAGGAGGCGATGTATATACGAAGAGGCGTGAAATCATAGGGCAGGAAGGGAAAAAAACGGAACCGCCAAGTCTAAACGCTGCCCTCCCCAGCGTTTGAGATTTCAGCTTTTTTGGTCCAACCAGCTAAACCTACCATCTATTTACCAAACAATAATTTTAATTAATTAGATGGTCAAAATCATTAATTACAGTCAAAGAAGCCAAAAATTGGCTGATAAGCCGTTTTCCAAACAGGGCCAATATTTATTACAATTAGTGACGATATTTTTCAATCATGACAGTATTTTTCAATGACAGTAACAACTCCTATTTAGGTCAATTTCCCTTTCTTTTATCACTAATATTTTCTTACCATTTTCATTAATATCTATAACCAAATAACACATTCCTAAGTTTAGTGTACCCTTTATGAGATTATTAAACCTTTCACCAGTGAAAAGTCGTGAGTGAGTCTCGTGACACAGACGACCCTGAAGCTAATATCGGGCCAGGTCACATTAGTTTGAATAGACTACGGAGTACTAATAATCCCACAAAGCATATAACTGAAATCATTTCTCCCCGTTGCCTCGCCTCTACTTAATTTCACATAACTTGACTTTGTTCTTTAGCAGAATCAGCACCTTAATGCTACTCCGTCCGTTTTTTAATTAAGTTCCTAGTTTGACTTCACACATATTAAGAAATAAATTTGACTTTACTGTGGAATGCACTGTTTGAACACTGTTTGACACTGTTTGAACACTGTTTGACACTGTTTGGCACTGTTTTGGTGTAAATCATTTTCCAAATAAGGAAAGGTTTGAAGTAGGAACTTTGATATGGACCATCCCAAAAAGGAAAGTAGGAACTTAATTACGGGACGGAGGGAGTACATCTCAAATCTACTCCGCATGCATATTTCGTGCATAATTTGACTGCTACAGAGATTCCCTCATTAGTATTCCCTCCGTCCTTCAATATTTTGTCATGTTTAACCGACACGAAAAATAATAAAGTAAAAACTGTGTGATTGAGATATGTGCAGAGAAAAGAGAAATGACATGAACCACGAACTCATTCATTAAAAGGGAAAATGACAAAGTTTTTAGGGCATCTAAAAATGGAAAGATGACAAAATTATAAGAGACGGAGTGAGTATGTTTGATTTGGAGTGAGATAATTATTCAATATTTCAATTCCCTTACAATGCCATACAAGCTCTTTTTCTTTTAATAAAAACGTAGAACAAAAACAATATTTTCTATGTACATTCTCCAATAAGGATGTTTTCGATTTGACATATTTTAGTCACAGACTAGATCAAACCTGATTAGGCCAGATCAAATCAGATTGGACTAGACAAATCTTAAACCATAGTAAAACAAAAATAAAAATGATACATACCCAGTGGCGGAGCCAGAAATACGGTCCAGGGGGGTCGAGAATCAACTTTATACAAAATGAAAACGGTGGATCGTTTTCAAACAATGTCCGAGTTGGATATTTTATATGTAGTTTAGATACATAGGCACTCGTAACAATAAAAGAGACAGTTTTTGCTCTATTTTTGAGTCATGTCACGTAAGTAATGAGTTAATTATACGCTATTTTTAAAATTTGGGGGAAAAAAAACAATATTACTCATCAAATTTTGCTGATTTTACGTTTAGATAGTGCTGATTTTGCAGAAGTCATAACTTTTTACTCGTAATGAGTTACGGGGGCCATAATATATCAAATCGAAGATATTTCAGAGCTCTATGCTCTCAAACTATCAGCGGGGTCGACTGACCCCCCTGACCCCCCCCCTTGGCTCCGCCCCTGTACATACCGAACCATACTAGATCGAAGACTTCCTCCATAGGATAAACATTCAAGATAGCTGGTTTTATAACCATTTACAAACATTCAAGAGCAATTTAAGGGGACTCGAGTTTGGCGATAGGTGCAAAATTTTCATCAAAGTCGACACCTTCTCACTTTGTTCCACTTTGTTCTTATTTATATTCACGCCATCAGATTTAGCCATGCCCAACTTCTCACACATTATTTCTTTTAAAACCCTAGCTCTTCTAGTGGTGCGTCAATCAAAGATTCATATTTTAATAGCTCAAAAAGGTCATTCTAAGATTCAATAGTGGAAGTTATAACAACTTATTTCTATCAATTTTAATCACACATTTCTCAAGACTCAAATAAAGTAAATAAAAATATGTATCCAAATTTTATTGTTTTTACATCCAAATATGTTCTCAAAATTTCATAAAAGTTCTGAAGAAATTATTTATAACAACAAAATTAAGATTTTAGAATATTTTCTAAGATTTCATAATTTAAGAATGTTGGCCTTTGATATAGAACAAATACTATAATAGGTTAGAGAGTAAGAAAAATGCTTTAGAGTATTTCACTTGGATTTATTGATTTAGAATATTCCACATGGACTTATTCATCATATAAAAGTATAAAGTATGCTTCGTGTATACGTCAACTATATACGTCGAGTAATTGTCTGTATATAGACAATTTACGGGCGTATAAAATAGCCGTGTTCAAATAACATTATGTGTAGAGCGAATACATGAAGTATTGGTTTGGTTGGTAGGAAATACTGAATTGATTTTGGAGTGATTGGCTGGGGATTTTGTTAAGTGACTAAGTGGGTTACATCAAAAGGATGATTCAGTTCCTACCCGTACCGAAGTGTGCTCCTAAGTCCCACCCGTATATGTGCTATAAATCGGTTAGTTGAGTGAGACCAGCCTGAATGTGGAGTTTGTGAAAACAAAAATCAATAGGGCACGTGGATCACACGTTTCCGTGGGGAAACCCAGCCACCCAATCAAGCCTGTAAACCCTTCCCTGAGACTTCCTTCCATCTTTCCTTCCTCCTACAATCCTTGCCCACCTGATTCTCCTAATTAATTCCAAAAGCTGAATTTTCTACCCAAATGCACCAATCATTACGTGTTGCATTTATGTGCCAAATTGAATAATCTTTTGGATTTTGAAAGAGATTCATATGCTTTCTTTATAAGATCTTCACACACATTGTTTAGAGCGTCTTTGGTAATACTGAAATTGACTGAGATGACAAAGTTAGATGAAACGGCTTTGAAAGTAGGTGAAGTTCTTTCTGAAACGGCTAAATTTATTAAATACGTTGACTTATGAAGAAATAAATTGCGTTTTAAGAAATTAAAGAAAATTTATATGAAACAACTGAAGTAACCTTCGCTATCAAATTTGGTCAACAAAATAACTTCACTTAGCTTTTACTTATTTGTACGACTACGTATTATCCAATTCAAGGTGTGAAATCAAATTTTACTTAAGTCATAAAAAGTTTGATAGTAAGGGGTGTTTGGAACTGATTCTGCTTCTGCTTCTTTTTTAAAGCAGAAGGAGAATCGTAATCAGTTTTCAGAAGTTGATCTCCCCCACCTTCTAAAAAAACTGATTCTAGGAGTAAATTAGAGCACCAGAATCACTTCCGCACTTTCACCCAAACACTTCAAGGAGCAGAAACAGTTTTAAGAATAAAATCCAAACACCCCCCCCCCTATCGTAAATACAAATTATCAAACGGACTTCTAAAGTAATAATAATAAGGGAAAAGTACATAAAAGATACATGTGGTTTGGACCGTTTTCAGATAGGGGCACATGTTTTATTTTTTAACAAAGTGGGATATACATGTGTTTCAATTCCGTTATCACAACAGGGGCATTATATCTAACGCCGTTAGAAAATTTAACCCCGATTTTCAAAAATCTCCGAAACATTAAAAGAAAAATATTGGAAGGTGCGCCTCGTCAAGGAGACCAACAAACTATCTTTGTTTTTATTATTCCATCCACCAATGTCGCCAAAAAATCCGCCGGAAAAGTGATATTAACAAATTCATTTTTAAAAAATAATCTAAATAGAGCCGAAAAATTCAAAGAGAGCGATAGTTTGTTGATCTCCTTGATGAGGCACACCCAGGGGCGGATCCAATGTGGGGGCAGGGGGGGCATCTGCCCCCACTCAACCCCCACCCTAACCCTATATATACATATATATTTAATTTAGATTTATATATTTTTTATGCTCAATAAAAAGGTCTTATAAACTAAGTGCAGTATTTGTAAACAAAGTAACATCCGGTCTAGTGGTTCAGTACTCCATACGTGCGATTGTCTTTCCTCTGGTCAAGGGGTCGAACCCCTGGTCTATTTTTATATCCATAATTTTCATTTTAGCCCTTTTGAAGCTTTAGAATGATGTTTAAGTGATTATTATACATTGTTTCAGTTTTTTCCCCCTAATTTACTATATTTAAAATACTTAATATAGTTACAATTTTAGTTTCACATATATTTGGTATAGTTCAACCTTGACATTTTTGCAATTAATAAAAACTATTTTCTACATATATTTATATATCCGCAACTTAATGCATCCCTTGATTATAATATAATTCATTATTTATTAACATAATTTCAAATAAGATAAAAAATTTGTGACTTGTTTGTTATTGATAGAGTGAAATTTATTTAGTATGATGTCATATTTTTTTACAAACAAATATTTTGTTATTTATATATAAATTTACGATTTTTTTAATTTGTTTCATTGTTTGTGATATTTCTGAGATAACAAATTTGTAGTGCGACTTCGCCCCCCCTCACGGAAATTCCTGGATACGCCACTAACACCTCCCAGTATTTTTCTTTTAATGTTTCAGAGATTTTTGAAAATCGGGATTAAATTTTGGCGTTAGACGACATGCCCCTGATGTGATAACGGAATTGAAGCACATGTCCCACTTTGTTAAAAAATGAAACATGTGCCCCTATATGAAAACGCCTCAAATTGCAGGTATCTTTTTTTTGTACTTTTCTCTAATAATAATAACATCTCAAAAACATACCCGATAAAACATGAGCTTAGTTTTGGCTATATGACTATATCACATCGAAGTCTAATATCATCGAAGTTTAAATTAATTTTATACTCTTTTGAAAATGACAGCAGGAGCTGCCACTATATTTTGTATGCAATACATAGATCTTGGTTTGTTACATTCCGCTTCGATACAGTTTACACTCATTTAACTGTTCGACTGATATTGAAAGATCTTCAAAAATGGAGTA